TCTATTGAAATGAACAAACATGGTCTGTCCCTTTTCCTCCTTCAAACAGCCAGAGCACAGTAATGTGTGTTTCTGGTACATCCCTCCCAGTCTGAGAAGCTTGCCACCTGGACCTGACAGAGATAGAAGACTCCATCAGGTCAGTGCACATCATTACAGTGGTTAAGTTCTGGTTAAACTTTGTGTTATTGTTGTAGTAGATATTTCTTGGTTTATTTCTTTGATTATTTTCTTATTTTTATCCTTAGGTTTCTTAGTTAGCTTTGGTATTACTATTATTGTTAGTGACTGTTATGATTAGGCGGTTGTATTGTCGTCTTTGTGTTAGATATTTGTGTCATGTTACTTCCTGTGTTATTTTGATAACGATTTGTCTTTTTAGTCTGCATCTGGGACCTCTTCTGTCTCAGTTTCTTCATGTGTTCATACTACCAATGATGATCTTTAATATATTCCTCTGCAGGTTGCTCCTCGGATCAAAGGCAGGATGATGGAAAAGGGCTCTGTTCTGATTGGCTATCAGCCGTTGGGAACCAAAGTCAATTTCTTCAGGTGTGTGTTTTCCAATCCGGCCACTCAACAAGAGGACATCGACTTTCTGCTGGATGAGATTTGCCAGCTGGGTGCTGACCTTTAAGATGTTTAAGTTAACAGGTTTTTGATATTTATGCAAGCATAAAGTAATTTTAGTTTTCCATTAGCCTACATAATATGCATTGAAGTAAAGCCTGACAATAGTGTAGAAGCTTAAGGAAACTTTCTTGATTCATATTCCAACTTTCCACAGATTTAATAAGTATTGACTGTTATTGTCATTTTCTACTATGGGGTTTTTTGTCTAATCAACAGGCCCTTTAACTTTCAGAAACCATCTGAAATAACCAAATGATCAAATGATCTTCATTGTTCTCAACATTTTTTATGTGTTGTTATGATGTGTAAGAAATAATTGTGGAAGATGTGTTCTGTCGAGAGAGGAAGTCCCCTGGCTTACCTCTCATTACATCTGAGACAGCGTAAAAGGACAACATTCAGGACTTGACATTTATATTAAAAATTATACGGAGTGCATAAGAATAGTCCATCTACATGTGGTTTTGTTATCTTAAATAAATCATCTTTATTTATAATCAAAGACATGAATTAAAATATAAGTCTGATAATTCCGGGGTGGCTGTAGCTCAGGTGGCAGAGCAGGTCAGCCACTAACCAGAAGGTTGGTGGTTCGATCCCAGGTTCCAGTTTGCATGCCAAATATCCGTGGGCGAGATACTAACCCCTTGTTGTTTTCTGATGCATCCATCGGAGTGTGAATGCCAACACGTTCTCACTCCCAAACCGTAACATTTTAGGCTAGGTGACAAATCGTCAACATATTACGTTTTCGGCTACCCACCACGTTCCT